AAAGGTTGCTGATCATTTCCTTTCTATTGAACACAGATATTAAAAACGATATATATACATATAAATATAATATTTTCTCTCCTCTCCTCTTGCTCTGTGTATAATCCAAACGATCTGGAAAGCAATCTGGCGTCCTGGCGTCTTATTTTGTTCAGTGTTAATTGTCTCAGAAGATAAGATGCTATTTTCCCAGAGCAGCATTTTCTGCAGCTTTAACAAGCTCAACATTTATCATTAAGTGCCGTCAACATGCGACGTTTGAAAACAGGTCTAACATCTACACCCGTAAAAACACCCGTAGCATCAAATGCACGCTTTTTGTTTAAGCTATGATGTGGATTTCCCAGGTTAAAGGTTTATACTCCTGCGTGTATTTGAACCTTCTGCTCAGTTTGAATGTATTTAGGTTCCTTTTCTCTTCGTCCTGCAACCCCCGACCCGCTCACATCCCATTGTTGCAACGCTAACATGAAGAATGAGGAAACTGTTGTGGCAAACAATGATTGTTCAATATCGCAGCCTCATCGGCTTTCACAACCCCCACCAGTGCAGAAAAAACTCCATAATGACACGTTATAATAACAGGTTATATCTCTCAGCGCACAAAGAGGCTTTTTCCAGCGAGCAGAGCCTCAGTTTCAACACCTTGTAACAAAGCAGCCGATATAAAAAAAGGTGTTACTGTCTCTCTCGATTCGATTCAGTACACATGGGTGTTTATTTCCTTATCTACTCTAATCTGCTGTAAGAGTAAAATGTGTGTAAGATTATGGGGTTTTTATATTTGAAACGCTATATTGATTTAGTGCAATTATGAGCCAGAGGAACAAAGCTATGACAAAAGGGGATATTAAGTCATGCTCAACTGGATCTTACGCAACATTTCTTACTGGAATATATTTCCAAATACTCCAAGAATACAACCTGTTTCATAACTAATAGTGTAAGACTAGCAGCCTTTCTATTACACATAAACGAGCTAATTCAAAATATAGTTTTGTTGATTATTTTATACAAAAAAACATAGTAAAAAAAAAAAGGTATTTTTCTTATTTTTTCATCAAAAGACGAAATTTTTAAGGCATATTTGACTGGATTAGTGTCTATCACTGGCAATATATATTCTCTTTTTTGAACACTGTGATATATATATTGTGTATCGCCGTACAAACACTCACAATAATCATGAATATCTCCAGTGAGTATCAGCTCTCTGTCTCGCTATCATGTTTTTGAGCACCTGATAAACCGCTTGGAAATCAAATGTATTATTGTAGAAGTTTAAAAAAGAGCCCTACAAAAAACAGATTTCTAAATCAATTCACAATCTCACAACATACACTTTTTAAGGCACATGTTACTGAGTTTGGGATCATTGGCAATATCTAGCCTCTTTGTTGAAACTGTGATATATATTGTGTATCGTCGTACTCACAATAATCATGAATATCCTCAGCGAGTATCAGTGGCATGTTAGATGTTTATGAGCACCTCGTGAAGCGCTTTGAAATCAAATGTATTATTAGAGAAGTTTAAAAAAGAGCCCTACAAAAAGTGATCATGTAAAACAGATTTCTGATTCAATTCACAATCTTACACGACTCTTAACTCTTACATGAATCTATTTCCACCGCCCTCAGCTAATTATTCATTAGTGCTCTTACTGTAGCAAGTCACACCCTCTGATCTGCGCCCTTATGTAGGTCCATGTGTTCGTACATGGCTTACAGACATGTTGCTAACTTAAGAAAATGAATCAGGGCTAATCTTCATGGCCTGATCACACTGCTATTTTGCCAAGTCATTAATGAGTCTGAGGCCGAGGGATTGGCCGGCATTAAAGTACAAATCTGTGCCTCTCCACAGCAGAGGAGTGTGGATTTACTCGCCACAATCCTCTAAATGGGCTTCATTATAGCGCACCCCCCCCCCCCCCCAATTCTGCCTGAGGATTAGCAGATCCTAACTCCCAGAGATGGCAAAAATACACATCCTTTACTCAAGTAGAAGTACAGATACTCGTGTTTAAAGTAGTGCTCTGGTAAAAGTAGAAGTACTGACTAAACTTCTTTACTCAAGTCAAAGTAAAGAGGGCTTTGAAATGTACTTCAGTAAAAAGTACCCATAACTAGCAGCTGTTTTAAAGAGTACCTGACCTCCCTTTATATTAATAGAACAATAATGTCATTGTTAGCTAATGAATGTTTCCATGCTGAACAACGGCAACATGACAACGTTTTCATTGGTCCCTCTTCTTTAGAGAAGACCAGGAAATGATGGATACACGGATCGTGTTCAAATCAATAGGCACGCAATGACTCTAAATAATAATGATCACGCCACCAAACACACATTCAAACTAAAGGAACCAGCCTGTTTGGGAAATGTGAGAAGTAGAAAGTACAGGTATTTGTGTTCAACATGTAAGAAGTAGAAAGTACAGGTATTTGTGTTCAAAATGTAAGAAGTAGAAAGTACAGGTATTTGTGTTCAACATGTAAGAAGTAGAAAGTACAGGTATTTGTGTTCAACATGTGAGAAGTAGAAAGTACAGGTATTTGGGTTCAAAATGTAAGAAGTAGAAAGTACAGGTATTTGTGTTCAACATGTAAGAAGTAGAAAGTACAGGTATTTGTGTTCAACATGTAAGAAGTAGAAAGTACAGGTATTTGTGTTCAACATGTAAGAAGTAGAAAGTACAGGTATTTGTGTTCAACATGTAAGAAGTAGAAAGTACAGGTATTTGTGTTCAAAATGTAAGAAGTAGAAAGTACAGGTATTTGTGTTCAAAATACCAAGACAAAGATACCAGACAAATGTACTTAAGTACAGTAACGAAGTATTTGTACTCCAATACTTCCCACCTCTGCTAGTACTGCCACTAATAAGGTTTATTATTGTCGATTAATCTCCCAAAATGATTCTAATTGTATCTGTTCATCTTAAAAGTGTCAGAAAATACTAAGAAAATATCAAATGTTTCCGTACTATTTTTCTATCAAGAAATCATTCCAGCACTTTTAAACAAACGTAATCATTTAAATCTCCCCACTCCCCTCCTCCCTCTCCATGCTTACACTGTTGCACACTTTTTTTTTATTCAGTTGCAGCCCCTCCTCCTCCTTCTTTTCGTCGTTGTCCCCCCCCCCCCCCCCCTTACTGCAAGCCTCACTGCAGATAAGCTGTTGACAAGATTAATGCATCGGTATCAAAAGTCCAGAGCCGCTTTGTGTTGTTTGTGAATCCCCTTTTCCAGGTCAAGCCAGATTGCCTTAACTGGGCTAATATGTTTTCAAGCCAAATGTAGCAGGCGTGCCGTCAACAGGCGGGTTAGCAGCATCCTGACCGCACGTTTTCATCACAATCAGAAACAGGTTTATTCATAATAATAAAGCTTTATTTATATAGCACTTTTCATACAACACGTGCAGCTCTCTTCATTAGGGAATCATTTGCTTAGGTATTCAACCTTCGACACAGTTCATCATGTTCTCCTCTCACGGTCTCTTTCCCACGGCATAGGTCTACGGCCTTAGGGTATTGCTGCTATCTCTCTTAAGGAGGGGCAGCTTGAGTGCATTGTTGTTGCCAGTCTATGACCGAGCACAAGCCGCCATGAGGTAGTTTACTGTTCAGGGACGTAGGTTCCCTGGCGCACATTCTTTCTATGGACGAGAGCTCTAGTTAGATTCAGGGTCCGTAATGCTTTAGTCTCACTGATGGAGAATGTTGATTATTACACTCTGAACTAGTTCAAACCTGGAGCTGCAGAAGAGTTCTTCAGAATTGGTTTGGCAACCGCTGAGTCAACTCGTGACACACAACCTGTCTCGTCAATTCTCCGGCCGTAACTATACGTAACTATTATTATCTATCATAATAATAAAGCTTTATTTATATAGCAACACGTGCAGCTCAAAGTGCTTTTTACAAAATGACACAAGTTAAAAAAACAAGAAATTCCCCTCAGATTATTTGTGAAGAACTTTAAAAGGTACATGCAGCAAAATATAACATGTGACCAGGTTAACAAGGAGGTTAAAGGTATGATGATAAAATACAATAAAATAAATAATGGTTTCTCTCTGACAGATAAGACACAAGACGACTGAGTCGATGCAACAATATAAAACCCCATAAAACAATTTTAACTTATAGGTAGAATAGAAATACAAATAAAAAAGATAATAGCAATAAAAATGCCATTAAAGCGGGTAGGTTGACACGCACGAGGGATTTGACTTGGTGTCGTGGTGCATACATGAAAGTCAAACAGGAATTAAAAACACAGATAGAGAACTATTTTAAGAAAACATTATAAAAAATATAGTACAATAAAATATAGCAGTATTTACATTGAAAAAGAATGGAATAAAATACAAGATAAGACTTGATTCATCCCGAAGGAAATTGTTGTACAAAAATACAATAAACACAGCAGCACAATATTAATAAGACTGTTCACTAACAGCGCCGTAAGAAGAGCAATTCAAACCACAGGACGGTCACATCATTAATGTAAATATTAACAGTATTTAGTAGTGCAACAACCGTAGTGGTAGTTATGTAATTGCATGTTATTTATCGAACATTATTACTAATATTACTAATAATAATAAAAGATGATGTGCAGTAATACAAAAAGCAATGTGTGTGTGCATGAATGTAATGCATAGAGTCCATGATGTGGCTGAGATGGACCTTTAAAATGATGGCTGGTGAATGAATGAATGCATAATTTAGATTTCATCCTGCCTGGTCATTTCTACAGCAGCGGCTTTAAATGTATTTTCTGTGTTAGGTGCCAATATGTCTGAGGAATCTTCAGCATTATGGGCTCCATTCCCATTGGGATTGTCTCATTTTAAAAATGCATGCACACGTGGTACACAAATGCACTTTGCAATGCATTCATGGTGCGCCTCGAAGCTATTGCGATTCAGCTGTATGATTTATATGCCCTATTGATTTAATGTATGGTTTTTTCCGCTCTTCCATAGGAACCCCGGTCAATCGCATCCCAATTATGGCCAAGCAGGTCCTGGATCTGTACATGTTGTACAAGCTGGTGACGGAGAAGGGAGGCCTGGTGGAGGTGATCAACAAGAAGATCTGGAGGGAAATCACAAAGGGCCTCAACCTGCCGACCTCCATCACCAGCGCTGCTTTCACCCTGCGCACACAGTGAGTATTCAGATGTGCTAAGATAAGATGAGATGAGATAAGATGGACCTTTATTAATCACCCTGGGGAAATTCAGTGGTTTAACAGATGATTAGGTACCAGGTCGATGCTCAAATCTGAAAACGTGCCGGTACTACAGTCAGGGCTGAGGCTAATGCACTCATATTAAACTCACAAATGATATGTCCTGGTTTCCTGGTAAAGCGACAGCGTGAACACCAAATCCTTGATAAAACCCACAGGAGAAAGCTACTTGATGCTAGCTGTTAGCTGTTAGCTGTTAGCTGTTAGCTGTTAGCTAGTGAGTACGCTGGAAAAAATGCTGCTCCAAAAACAAGTTAAACAATAATGAAAACAATCCGTTTTTTCACTTGAAATAAGTACAAAGATCTGCCAATAGAACAAGTGAGAATTAGCTTGGTACGATTTCTTGAAATAAGAAGGGATATTTTAGATAAATCAGATCTTGTAATTAGCTTGGAGAACAAATGTTGAACTATATTTGACCAGAATCAGGAAATGTTGTTACACTATAAGCCGCTAATGCTCAAAGGTTTTCTGTTTTCTGATGTTAGTTGGTGATTTTCTAATAAATATGTAACAAAATATGAGATACAACTCAAAATAAGACTTAACAAGATGATGCATTGTCTAAAAACAAGACCCGATATCTCACTGCAGTGTTACTCCTGAAGTTATTATGTCTTATATCAGGTGTAGAGACATATTCTGACTAGATGTTAGACACATATACTCGAGTTTTTGTAGTGACGTCACAAAAACTGATGATTAGCAACACAGTCTCACGGCATTTCGTGTTATAGTCACGAAATTAATCTATTGATTCGTGTTCACCGACACGATTTCGCCATTTTTTTCGTGTCACACAGAACGATTTTAAAAGCAATGTATTTATATTGGTAGTATGTTTCGTGCCTGCACCAAATAATAACAAATTAGAAGGAAAAAAAGATGACATAAAATACAGATGTCAGTATTCTGAGGCTCTGAGCCATTTCTTTTCCTCACTGACGGCAAAAAAACTCAGACATTATACAATTTAAAATAAAAGGGATAGGGTTAGGCTTAGGGTAAGATATTGAGTAAGAACATGTTTTTATGAACCACACAGCTTCTGGTCTTCCAAGACCCGACCGGACAAAAAGACGTGTTGCAGGCACGAAACATACTACCAATAGAAATACATTGCATTTAAAATCGTTCTGTGTGACACGAAAAAAAGGTGAAAATCGTGTTGGTGAACACGAATCAATAGATTCAATTCATTTCGTGACACGAAATGCCGTGGGACTGGGTTGCAACATGACACACATTTGCAGCTCTGCCTTGACTCTGTCATCACGCACAGGAACACAATAGGCCTGTATTAGGATAACATAGATCTTTCTGTAGAAAGGATCATACAGTAATATGCAAATACTTTGCGCATGTAATAACTGCCTTGCAAAACCTGTTGGAAATAATAACTCAAAGTATACAGAGCTTTACATATGTCCCTGCCTGATAAGCTTAGTGGGTGCAGGAAGGCAGTCAAGTGTTTTGGAGAGGTGTGTGTGCCTGCATAAATAATATTTTAATGTTAGACACTGAGAGAAAATCAATCACGTTCTCTCAACCAGTGTTCGAATTGGGGGGGAGCCAGGGGGAGCTTGGCTCCCCTAAAGAGGGGGGGAGCTCCCCTGAAGTCCGACTTTGAGATAAATAGGGGGAGCCCAAAAAAATCGTGCATATTTGTGTCACACAGATTACAAATGTTGAGTTTCTGTAAATAGAAGTTCTTGAAATAAATAATAATCATTGTTCATTACAGTTTCTGAATATTTGTTTTATATTTGTGAATATTTCTGGGTGTTGCCGCATCTGTACGTGGCGGCGCTGCATTCTTTACTTGCTATGGTTACAGCTTTTAACTGGACACAGAAAAGATGGAGTGGAATGAAAGGTATCAATGGCTTTTCATAATAAATAAAAAATGTGGATGTGAGATTTGCAAAGAGGCAACAAGTATGATCTCCGTGCCGCTCGCAGAAAAATCCACGGGAATGCACCTTTAAAAAAAGAAAAAAAATAGGGCTCCCCCGAAAGCAAATGGGTAATTCGAACACTGCTCTCAACACATGTGTATCACCAAATGAATAGTATGATCTTCAAACACAACTCATTTAAGCTCGCCTACCTAAAGTGTTTCTTCTAAAGATACTCATACTACTCTTATACATACTTTAGCCTTATTTCTCTCCCATTCCTTGTCTCTATATCCGAGAAATGAAAGTAGATTTACATTTTTTCTCTTGGAAAAAAAGATGACATAAAATACAGATGTCAGTATTCTGAGGCTCTGAGCCATTTCTTTTCCTCACTGACGGCAAAAAAACTCAGACATTATACAATTTTAAATAAAAGGGATAGGGTTAGGCTTAGGGTAAGATATTGAGTAAGAACATGTTTTTATGAACCACACAGCTTCTGGTCTTCCAAGACCCGACCGGACAAAAAGACGTGTTGCAGGCACGAAACATACTACCAATAGAAATACATTGCATTTAAAATCGTTCTGTGTGACACGAAAAAAAGGTGAAAATCGTGTTGGTGAACACGAATCAATAGATTAAATAAATTTCGTGACTAATAACACTAAATGCCGTGAGACTGGGTTGCTATTTTTGACCAGAATCAGGAAATGTTGTTACAATATAAGCCGCTAATGCTCAAAGGTTTTCTGTTTTCTGATGTTAGTTGGTGATTTTCTAATAAATATGTAACAAAATATGAGATACAACTCAAAATAAGACTTAACAAGATGATGCATTGTCTAAAAACAAGACCCGATATCTCACTGCAGTGTTACTCCTGAAGTTATTATGTCTTATATCAGGTGTAGAGACATATTCTGACTAGATGTTAGACACATATACTCGGCAAGATTTCGAGTTTTTGTAGTGACGTCACAAAAACTGATGATTAGGTACCAAGTCGATGCTAAAAATCTGAAAACGTGACGGTACTACAGTCAGGGACGAGGGTAATGTAGTAAACTCACTAATGATATGTCCTGGTTTCCCTCGTAAAGTTACAGCGTGAACACCAAATCCTTGATAAAACCTGCAGGTGAAAGCTATCTAATGCTAGCTGTCGATGCTAAATCTGAAAACGGGAAGATACTACAGTTCACAAGATACCATCAGGGCCGAGCCAGTAACGATATGTAGTGTTTTTCCCTTTTAATGCTACATCGTGAACAACAAATCAAAGATAAGACCAGCAGGAGAAAGCTACTTAAAGGGCCCATGTCATGCTTTTCCGGTTATTACCCCTTGTGTGTTATGAAGGTTTTTCTGCATGTAAACGGTGTGCAGAGTCATAAACCCTCAAAGTACACCCTGTAGTGAGTAAAACTCTAACACAGAAAAGACCTCCCCAAAACGCCTCGTTGGAGATACGTCATTGTCCATTTGATTCTTCCATTTCGTTCCGGGTACGGCATGATGTCAAGCCATACCCGGAACGAAAAGGACCAATCCGTGGAGCCGTTACGTTAAGCCCCCGCTGATTGGTCCAAAATGACCAATCCACGGACTTCCTCACACACACATCTGTGTGCAGGGAGCAGGCAGCTCAGCTGATTTCTCCTCCCTGGCTGCAGGCTGATAACAGACGGTTGGGATCGCGGCGAAATTCTCTCTGCAGACCCATTCTCACAGCGTCTATCAACCTTTTTCTTACTCAATATCAAGCCACACTTATTGTTTTTAATCCGGCTGTGAGTTTGTGTGTGCTCAGGATGAGTTTGGCTGTGTTTCGCTAACAAGGAAACAACACCTCCACGGAGCTCAGCGCGATTCACAACGTCCCGACCAATCAGAGCACACTGTGCTCACAGGGAGGGTGGGGGCTGGAGCTATTGGAGCTACAACGAGCCGTTAAAGGCAGAGAGTGAAATTCAGTGAATACACGTAGTTTACAGAGATGCTGTATGAGAAACCAATGTGAGTTTGGAAAAATGCACAATATAAATCTATTCTAGTAGACCTCAACAATGGAATTATGATCAGTGGAAATGGCCATGACATGGGCCCTTTAATGCTAGCGGTTAGCTGTTAGCGGTTAGCTGTCAGCCATTAGCTGTTAGCTGTTAGCAGCCTTAGCTAACAGAACCAGAATCTGCTTTATTTCCAAGATAGTTTACGCATTCAATGAATTAGTTTTGGTGTATGATGCTGCATACCTATACACAGTAAGAGGAATTAAATTGTACAAAAGAAGCAAATATAGAAATGCAATGAAAAAATTATAAAATTAAATTAAATATAAAAAAATGAACAACAAAAATGGAAATGTAATAAGAATAGGACACTCCAAAACATAAAATATATGAAGTATAATATCTAACATTAAGTTCCTTCATAATGATGAGTTCTCAGTAAAAATGAGTATTGAGCAGAGGTAAATAAAACCCTTATCATGATTTGGACACATAAGCCCTTTTAATTGTAGTTTTCTCTAATCTACTTGAACAGATACAGTAGTTTAAGGCAGATGTTTACAAAGATATATCAAAAAGGGAATTATAACCATCAGGAAGCAAACAGCATTAACAAATAACGTATATTAAAGTCCACAGGATTTATTGTTATTAGGGATGTCCCGATCACCTTTTTTTGCTCCCGATCCGATTCCGATCATTTGATTTTGACAATCTGCCGATACCGATTTTTCCCGATCCGATCTTTATGCAATGCATTAAGAGGAAAAAAAAGGTAACAGATAACGGCTGGTCATCCAACGCGATGAATTCAGCTATCTTGGCTGTTATTTTTTTGGCCTTTTCACTGTTCTGGGGCAGTTTCTCTTTCCTTTTAAAAGTCTCTGAAAGTGTCGTTGTTTCAGTGCCGTTACCTGAGTGGCCGCTGTGTACTCGTCGTGTTGTTGTTGGTGGTGTTTGTATTAGATTGGTCGTGTTGAACGTAGCTCTGTTCTTTCCACCACGAGGAACCTCCGCCTTGCAAACATTGCATCTGGCTGTTACACTGCCTTCGCTTTCAATTTTATAATACTTCCAAACTCCTGACATTTTCTCTGTCCCGACTCCCGAGGCACCAGCTGAACGTAGCCTCTTGTTAGCTTACTGCTACTATTAGACACTGCGCCCACTCTGTTGCCAGATTTGAGAGAAATAAGCAACCAGGTCTATGAAAACAAGCCCAAAAGAAGCAACACATACATGATGTTGTGTAATTTTAACCCAAAACTAAGGCCTCAGGATGACTTTAAGACGTGAACATGGTCATTTTTGTTTTGTAACATTAAATAAAATGTATAAAAATATTTTATAAAAAATAAAAAAATAAATTCCGATCCCCGATTTTTTTCTCCCGATCCCCGATCACGTGAAAATCACGTGATCGGCTCCGATCCCCGATCACGTGATCGGATCGGGACATCCCTAATTGTTATGGTTTTACTCTGGTATCAAATGCTACGTTTTCCCTGTTTATGTCACAAAACAACCAGAAATTCTCTTAATTGGTTGCAGTAGTCACCCAATGAGCATCCTATCCATCTAACGTTAATCTTACGTAACGCTAATTTAATTGACGGTGAACTAAATAAAGAATCTCAAGTGTGTGTCTTCTCAGCTGCAAACAAGCACGTTCCTTATCCCATATGTGTGTGTGAGAGTATGTGGATATTTTTTCATGTGAGCCGCGATGTCAATAATAACCCGTGCCTGTGTGTTTATACAAATGCGGGTTTGTTTCCTTCCCTCCTCACGTCCAATCCGTGTGTATATTACATCACACACAGCTCCCATTGATCCCTATAGATGTATTGATGTGATTTAGGTCAGAGTTCGCTATGACTAAGGTGGGGTTTGACCCACAGATTGCACAGAAAAACCGCGACTAAAATCCCCGTTGCTATCTTGATGGAAATCCTTCTCTACACCTCTCTATCCGGTGCACTAATGATCCGTTATGTATTTTTAATGTTGCTCTATCTAATGGACGCTGCTCTTAGCCTCTTATTGATCTGCCATCCCAGCATTATCAGCATGCACAACACAGTATGTTCATTTTTTGTTTGGCTCTTAAATTCCAGAGCTATGATGTAATGTAAGTATACTCAGCATACTAAACGTGTCCTTGCACAATTGTCATACCAGGTGTCTCATTAAATCCTGTGCTATTACATGTAAGAAGGTTATCGTTGGCTTGCTGGAGTAACCTGATTTTGGAAATGTCACTTATACAATGGGGGTTTTCTATAATTAGGGGTGAGGGATTAGGGAAACACAGTTAACACTAAGGGGTGGGACCATGGGGAATTTATTGTGGATTAGAGTATAAGAAAACACTCACAATAACTGCATTGTGTCTTAAAAATGCTGTTAAGGTAGGGAAATAAAATAAAAAAATACAGAAATTATTAAGTAAGACTCACAATATTTATATTACTTTTTAAGGCGGAAACATAATTTGTCCATCCATCCATCTTCTCCCGCTTCTCCGTGGTCGGGTCGCAGAGGTATCAGTTCCAGCAGAGAGCCCCAAACGTTCCTTTCCCCTCATCAACCAGCTCTGACTGGGGGGTCCCAAGGCGCTCCCAGGCCAGCGAAGAGATATAATCCCTCCACCTGGTCCTAGGTCTACCCCTCGGTCTCCTCCCAGCTGGACGTGCCTGGAACACCTTCCTATAGGGAGGCTCCCAGGTGGCGTCCTTACGAGGTGCCCGAACCACCTCAACTGGCTCCTTTTGACGCGAAGGAGGAGCGGTTCAACTCTGAGTCCCTCCCGGATGACTGAACTTCTCAGCTTATCCCTAAGGGAGACGCCAGCCACCCTGCGGAGAAAACCGGCCGCTTGTATCCGCAATCTCGTTCTTTCGGTCATGACCCATCCTTCATGACCATAGGTGAGGGTAGGAATGGAAATGGCCCGGTAGACAGAGAGCTTTGCCTTCTGGCTCAGCTCCCTTTTCGTTACAACGGTGCGGTAAAGCGACTTTGCGACTCCGATTCTCCGGCCCATCTCACGCTCCATTGTTTTTGAGAACCTTAATTAAAAAATGTATATATTTGTTTATTTGTCTTAAAATTAAGATCCTATCTATGATGCAATAGAAATCGTTTTTTTTTTATTTGACTGATTCTAGTATGTCTTAGTGCCATATTATATAGATTTTATACATTTAATATATACCAGTTTAGTAAGGGTTTTGGATAATATTGTGAACTACTTTTGCCAGGATAATCATCAGAATAAATAATAAATAAATGGTCAAATTAAGTAAAATAATGATGTTGCATGCAGGGATAAAATGAAAGACGGTTCTTTGTAGGAGGAAATTATTTTAATTCAAAAGGAAATCTTTACACTGACAATAAAGCAATGTATCCACGCTTTAACAATCTAAAGATATCTGGTTGTACACCTCCGTTGGTAAACTACTTCTCAGACGTATTTTGCACCTCAAGGAGAAACTGTAATCTCTCACCATGAAACCAAATGAATAAATAAATAAATGACCATCAGGAAACAGCATCTTATATCAGAGCTCCACTCGGCGTCCCCTATCATACTGTTTTTCATCAATATATCACAGGTCTCAGATATATACAGAACCTGTCTCTGATTGGCTGAAACACCAAACAGATCATTGCAGCATCCCATAATCCCCTCTGTTTCTGCCCTGTTTCCAAAGCGCTGATTCTCTGTCTGTTACTTTAGATGAAAATAAGGAGACCCTCCCCACGCCCCTCTGAGAGAGATTTGGTTAAAAAGAACACAATGGTGCTCTAGGAGGAGATTCAGGTGATAAGGTGGGGGGGGGGGGGTTACCTTGGTTGCTGATTGGCTAATGGTTACACAAGACAAAACATCGTTGTGACATCATAAAGTGGCCAAAATCTGATCAGCTCATTTTCAGACAGGTTTTTATAGAAATGGATCAAAAAGAGAGAGAATCTTTGTTCCTGAAACTTTCAGAGTCTCATGTGTCCCCTCTGTGTAAAGAGAGAGTCTCTTTACACAGAGGGGACACATGGTGATGTTTAAAAGACATGAAGAAGTGGATTTTGCATAAACGGTGACCTTTAAGTCAGCCAGGATTAAAGATGTGATTGGGTACAGAGAAGGAATCAGTTTCTATATCTACTGAATGTTACAAGGTTTTACAGCAATTATAAGAACTTTCTCTCATTTCCTGGGAACCACTTGTAAATAAACAAGATGAAAGTAGCGTTATTATGAAAAGAAAGTCATTATAATGAGACACTTTGTTGAATAACAACTTAAAATGTCAAATGACAACTTAAAATGTCAAATGAATGAGAAACTTAGTCAAAATTAGGACCAAGTATCTTAAATAAAATTAAAACAATTAAAGGTGGGGTAGGTAATTTTGGAGAAACCAGACACTTTTTGAAAATACACAGCCGGAAAAAATCTGCCACTTCCTTCAGACTTCCGTACAGAGCCCCTCCTCCAACACACACGAACGCGCACATGACCAATGAGGGCACGAGATAAGTTTGTGCACAGATGGAAGGCTGACAGGCAGGTAGGCCATCCAGTTATTTTAGCCGGGCCGGCTAAAATGATTGGTCGTGCTTTTTACAGTATTACGGCTTCCACAGATGATATGTTTTTTATGGATTTTTTGTCAAAGCACTTAAGATATTCATTGCTATCGGGATGTTAAGAGCATTCCATGGAATATAACAAAAAGTGTATCTCAAGCCGGTTTCTCAAACTTACCTACCCCACCTTTAAGTAGTATCTCAAAATAATGACTTAGTCACTTAAAAACATGTCTTTATTATAATGTGTGGCGTAAATCTGGTCAAAATTAAGATACATTTGATCGAAATTAGTATCTTAAAATAATGAAAGACTTGGTCTAATCATAAAGTAGTATCTCAAGATAATTACCCAAAACAATGATATATCTTTTAAAAATGTGTCATAAAAGAACGTTTCTAAATATTCTGAGATATTTAGCGACTTTTTGAAAAAGTGTGTCATAATATTGATTAAAAACACACATGGGCTTCCATAAATGTGCTTATATAGTTTATAATATAATATAGTACATATTTTAACAGATATCATGCCTTAACTATGATACGTTTGTACAGTATCATAATTCTCTTGTTTCATTTCATTATTATTTTTTTTTTTTTATTATTGTTTTACACGTTCTAAATTAATAAGGTTAGGGTTACCCCAAATAGGATATTAATACTTCCCATTTGAATGTTTCCTGGTGATCTGATGTGTTCCTGTGTGTGTTTCCTTTGTATTTATTTTTAATGCGAAAACAATATTTTTGAAAACCTTATTTAACATTTTTCTAAATTTTGATTTGCCCTAAAATTAAGATGTTTCCTAGCAATCCAAATATTAGTTTCTTAGATCATTGTTTTGGTAAAGTGATTGTAGTATGTCTTAGTGCCTTAATGGGCAATAAAGCAATGTATCCAAGCTGAACATATGCAGGGTTAAATTACTCAGACGTATTTTGCACGTAAACTGTCCTCAACAATCAATATATGCCTCAATATTTCCGTAGTGATCTGATGTATTTCCTGGTGATCTGATGTATTTCCTCTCTGTGTTTTCTCTCCTCAGGTACATGAAGTACTTGTACCCGTTTGAGTGTGAGAGGAAGGGTCTCAGTTCTCCAGGTGAGCTTCAGGCTGCCATCGACAGCAACAGACGTGAAGGCCGGCGTCCGAGTTACAGCAGCAGCCTCTTCCGCTTCTCCCCCTCCCCGAGCACCGCGCCGCACATCCTCTCTCCTCCCAAGATGCACCTGGGCAGCCTGGCCGCGCTCAACGGCATGCACGTCTCCCCGGGACATGCTATGAAGAAAGGTAGGAGCCATGAAGCTGTGGATGTAGAAACGTCTAGCAGCTAAAGAGACGGAAATGTTATGCACCATTTATAGTATAAAGAGTTTCAAATCAGTATTTAATGTTAAATAAGCTGCAAAAAATCTGTATTTTTTTGTTCAAATTTAAGTTAAAACCTTTGTTTTTGGACTGAAAAACCAAAATGTGTCCTTTGTAAATCATCTGTATTAGCTTTAAACTGAACACAAGTAAAGCAGAGGAAGTGGACATTTTAACCACTAAACGATTAGTCATGAAATCTAAATAACTAAACTAATGATGTGTTGGGGTTTCCTTCTAAAATAAGCTGCCTTAAATAAACTGTAAGTAAACTCTCAGATATACGGACATGTTCAGAAACCCTCTCTAAACCTGTGGAGGTTAAATTTATCTGGGTAAATCTGTACGACACATAATGAAGCCTCTCTGTGCTGGTCAGATTAAACCGGTGTTACAGATGTGCTGGGAGCGTTTAAAGGGGAACACTGCCCTCTGGTGGACAAACACGTGAATTAAATAACAGTTCCTACAGATAAGGCTTTAGTTTTAAAGAGACATTAATTAAAACATTGTTTTTTTACTAGATCATTAAGTATAGACGATATTAAAACATGAAATGTATCAAAAGGGTTATATTTACATTATAAACAACACATTATTATTAAGTATTTAATGTCAAAAGAGCTGCAACACTTCATATTTCCTGTTTTTCTTTACAGTTTTTTATCTGATTAAAGTATGCTTTTTTTTTACTGACACACAATAATAATCCACTAAGTTTGTTGGGAGCATTTTTAAGTAGGAACTATTTTCCCTTCAAAACGATACCCCTCAAAGAACGAGCCTGTAGATATCACTACTTTCGGCACAGTGATACGCTGGAAAGAAAGTAGTTCCTACATTAAACTGCTCACAAAAAGGTCTCATGATTTCTGGAAAATATACACTTGTTTAAAGTTTTGTTTTGGCGCTAGCTTTGAGCACCATAATCAAAGTGTCATCTAACTCCACTATGTTGGAGAGAAAGCAGACATCAGTACAGCAAATATCTCCAACACTTCCACCAAAAAGCTATCTAGTGATAAATAACACAGAAAATAAGTACATTTTTGGTTTAAGGGTAAACAAAAAACCTAATCTGTTAGTACTGGTTCACTCATGTTGGTGTGACTAATGGCGTTCTATCCACATAAATACGTTAAATATAACACTAACAAACCATCTTGATTGATAACAACCTCTACAGGTAAAATAGAAGATATATATTTCTGATTGTGGCGTGTACTGTCCCTTTAATGATTTAAACTCTCTATCAGCATGATTAACAAGCATTTAAAGGCATTATATATAGTCCCTGACGACAGACCAGAATACTCTTCATCCGAGCACCTGCTGGTGTGTGTGTGTGTGTGTGTGTGTGTGTGTGTGTGTGTGTGTGTGTGTGTGTGTGTGTGTGTGTGTGTGTGTGTGTGTGTGTGTGTGTGTGTGTGTGTGTGTGTGTGTGTGTGTGTGTGTGTGTGTGTGTGTGTGTGTGTGTGTGTGTGTGTGTGTGTGTGTGTGTGTGTGTGTGGTGTGTGTGTGTGTGTGTGTGTGTGTGTGTGTGTGTGTGTGTGTGTGTGTGTGTGTGTGTGTGTGTGTGTGTGTGTGTGTGTGTGTGTGCAGGAATGTTGGCATGGGAGTGTGCTGTTACATTTGCGTATTACATTCTCGCAACATGTCATGCCTCTCCCCCACATCAGAGAGTGTGTGTGTGTGTGTGTGTGTGTGTGTGTGTGTGGTCCATCCAGGTGTTTTTAGAGTCCATGTTTTCCCCCCAGGCTGCAGAGAGCCCTCACCTTTTCCCCTCCTCATTAATGACATGGTTCCCACACTTTATGAGCTTTGAAGCTGAGCGTTGATGACGGTCATTATGTGTGCCGGACCCTCCTGGGATGGCCTGTGTTTTAATAATAATAATACATTTAACTTTAATAGCGCTTTTCCCAGTGCTCAAAGACGCTTGACACAAAATCTGAAACAGAAACAGTAGTCCTAATCCAAGTGTGAGTAAAGTGGGGAGTGTTTTACCCTCAGATTTATGGGGGTAAAAAGGACTGTTTGACTGAATCCAGTCGCTGTTGATGTGGGACTGCTTTTGCACACGTCACTCATCAGATCTGTTTAGTTTGTATTGAAAGTGAGGGAAGTGATTCTATGCTAGTGGTGTAAGAAGTCCATTGCAACTCATTCATTGGGAGTATTTTAATTGCAGAGATATCGTCCTCGGACAATTTAAATTCAATTGTATGTGATGTAAAAAATCAGGAAATAAAAAGGAACTCACCTTGTGGTAAACCTGAGAGAGAAAAGGCGTTTGAGCTCCAAACTGTTTCAGAAATCATCCTTGATGTGGTTTGGAACATGACATGGCGTTTGATCACGGCAGCATTTAGCTGAGCTATCCTCTAGCTACGGACCCAGAGACATCACTTTAGTAACAGGAAGTGAACTAGAGGGGTATGAGGCTACAATGGGTCATCTGTTTAGTATTTTGAGCAAAACACTTCATAGACATGTTTTTTATATATTTGTATATATCTGAGACCCATAATATATGCCTAGAAATGGTATAATAGGAGATCTTAAATGTACTCCCAGTGCACAGACTAAAGCATCCCTTCATGTTTCTCTCTCCTCAGAGGACCACCTGCCCCCCCCCCAGAATTAATAAACAAATTATAATCCTGATCTAATACTATGAATCATATCGCAATTGCAATATCAGTCAAAATAATCACAATTAGATATATCTCCAAATTGGGATTAATAAAGTACTTTTTATCTTATCTCATATTGTTCTTCTCTCCTCTCTCTCCTCAGAGGACCACCTGCCCCCCTCCATGCTGGCGGGCCGCCCCTCCATGGCTCTGGCCCTCGGGCACCATCAGGTCTCCGGCCTGGCGAGAGCCGCCACTCTGGAGCAGCTGCGGGAGAAGCTGGAGCCGGGCGGGGGGGAGGGTCCGGAGAGGAAGATGGCCCGGCGCATGGCGGAGGAGCAGCAGCGCCTCATGCAGCAGGCCTTCCAACACAACCTGCTGGCCATGGCCTCTCAGATGCCCCTCAACCTGCGCCTGGGAAACCCCAACATCACAGCCAGAGGTCAGTGAGGATTGGAGTGTCAAAATGTGTTTTAATGTTAAAATGCAGCGTATCACTGCGCCGAGTGATTTCTCCAGGCTAAAAACTGCTATTTTCTGCCGTTCATGCAGGTAGGGTGACACGTACGAGGAATTTGACCTGATTCTGATTCTGATTCTAATTGAGCACCATAATCATAATGTCATCACCAGGCAAAGTGTAAGCAAGTCTGATCGGGGGCAAAGGCCCAGTCTCTATTTTTTTTTACAAGTTTCTCATTATCTGAGATCCTTATGTTCTAGTTATCAATTCACTTTTTTTATTTTGTGTCCGTTGTAGAAATCCCATTTAACAACGTTTTTTTAAGCATGAACGGCAGAAAATAGCAGTTTTTAGCCTGGAGATATCACTCCTTTCGGCGTAGTGATACCCTGCAAAGAAAGTAGTTCCTACATGAAATTACTCAAAAAAAGGTCTCATGATTTCTGGAAAATATACAGTTGTGTTTTGGCGCTTTGAGCACCATTATCAAAGTGTCATCTAACTCCATTATGTTGGAGAGAAAGCAGACATCAGTACAGCAAATATCTCCAACACTTCCACCAAAAAGCTATCTAGTGATAAATGACACTTGATTAAAACCTGGTTCACTCAGGTGTTGGTTTGACTAGTTGTAATTCTTAAAAGTGCGACAGAGGGCGGTATATCCACATAAATACGTTCAATCTAACCCGAACCATCTGCACCTAAACCATGTTGATTGATAAACAGCTCTTCAGGTAAACCCCGCCGTCACCACCAGAGGTCAGGGAGGACCAGGGTCAAAGGTTTTCATGTGTCATCTAACATGAATTCAACATTAAACACAAGTTAATTATTTACACTGTTCCATTTATTTAGCATTGTTTACGCACTCATTGCCTGCGTGTCTCTGTTGCCACCTATACAGGTCATTTTTAAACAATTTGAGAATGACTTTGAATTTATTATTTATGTATTTCAAATGTGAAATGTTACCAATATACTCACGGACCACACTTTGAGAAACACTGCTCTAAAACATCCCTTTGTTTGTGCAGAAGAGAAGCAGCAGGACATGTCTCTGAGCATCTCGACCAATGGGAACGCCAGCATCACCGTCTCAGTGGAAGTCAATGGCACAATCTACTCAGGTTGGTATTAGAGGAGTATGTAATGCTGTTGAATACTGCGGAAACAATAGTATTTGCTATATAGAAGCAGATATTTAAGTGTGCTATGATCACCAGATGTCTTGTTTTCAGTTTACTGCTGAAATATAACTAAACACCAGTTAAAGTGGAATCACCAAAAGCCACTGTTTTACTCTCTTTGAACTAAATAATTTTCTTTTTAACTTTTCTTTAACCAGGTATGTCCCGTTGAGATTAGAACATCTTGTATACAACAGAGCAATTACCAGACAACTGTAAAACATACAGTATTTTAGGTAACATATATGTAAACATTAACACAGTATAACTACACATGGTACACCACAACAAGCCATGGCAGAGCTGAGGAAGATCTGAGTCTCCAGACCCTTTACTTACATTTTAAAAGCTTTAATTGGGATCAGCAATCTGACCGCAAGAAGTGTACCGTTCTTTCACAATGTGGGTATTTAGCAAGTTGACCATCAAACATAATATATTGTGCAGCTATCGTTTTTAATGAGGCTCCATGGTTATGTCATGATGTTTCCCTTCATGTTTGTGAATGAACATGTCATCTAAATGCTTCTCACGTGTTCTGTGAAACACTTTCCTTGTGTTAAAAGTGTTTCCCCCTGTTTGTTATACATCTGAGACGTATAATATATGCCTGAAAACAGTCTAATAGGGTTAGGGTTAGGGTTAGGGTTAGGGACCTTTAATGTGTTCTGTAAAGCTTGTGTGTTAAAGCTCGTTCTCCTCGCCTCACAGGAACCCTGTTTGCCCAGAAGTCCGGTTTGACCCCCCCGATGTCAGCCCCCCCGGCCGGCCCCAGCAGCAGCAGCTTCTCCATCCCTCAGACCCTAAGCCCCGCCTCCTCCTCCTCCTCTAAGGGTCCTAGCTCCGCCGAAGCCCCCCCAAACGGGTCGCCATAACTCCCGCCTGCAAGAAAATTCAGTAAAATGAGAAAAAACCGCTACGAAAAAACAAACTGTTGCACAACAAATACCTCATCAACCTGTCCACCTCTTGGCTGTCCAATCAGGAACACAGAAGCCAGATTACGTTATTATGACAGCTAACACACACAGCTATGCATCTTACACATACACGCACTACACTACAAACACACACACACACACACACACACACACGCTAATCCTACATGCTAAACACAATCAGCTCAGCCAAAACCCACTGACAGGTGTCGTCACAACTGAACTTGAAAAGTTTTATCTTAGGAACGATTTTTGTTTTGTTGCCATGTTGTCGTCTTTTTTTTTTTGATTTTGTGTTTTTAGAATGATTTTGTTTTTAAGTTTTCTCTTTTTACATACCTCAAATCAAGTAACCTGCAGTGGTGTCTTTACCTCAGGAGCTGTAGTATATTTAACCTGAATCAACTTTATTTTTGTATTGTTTTTGAACCGAGTTGCAATCAGGGGAAGTCGGGTAAACTCTCACTGTGACCTCCAAACACCTCACACTGTTGCTGTGGATCAGCACCATAGAAACCTTCATAGCCTCAGATCACATCACTCAGGGTTCACCGGACTCACTCGCAGTGGATCTCTGAATCCACCTGAATTCAGTTTACTGCTTTACAAACTGTCTCGCAACATGTAGCGCACAAATGTGGGGGAACATCAACTCAAACACAGCAGAGCGAACGTCTCCACCTTCTCCTGCTTGTGTTGCATAACAAAATCAGGTGTGTTCCCCCCCCCCCCCCCCCCCCCCCCCCCCCCCCCCGCGTTGTACCCTTCCTCTTGACCACAAAATGCTGAAAGTCAATCCGACAATAGTTCTCTTTACGGAGGGCGACTCTCTCAGGAAGCAGTTCATTTAACAAAAGAAAAGGGATTCATACCTGGAGAAATGCACATGTTCAAGAATACCTCATGAGACTCTCTCAAAAGGAGAGCTACACTACATACCTCATAACGGCTGCGAGGCCAACAAGACTTGACGCCACACGGAAAACCTCGGAGATCTTCGGAAATCCTCCCTGACATGACGACGCTGCTGCTGGTTTTTTGGGGACAAACAGACGGTGGGACGGCTCGCTGTCTCTCCTCCTGTGTTCACTTGTAATAACGTGTTTTTAAATGCTTGCTTTCCTTTTTTTCTTCTTTGTGGTTCCTCGAGTCTGAGAAGAGTGATATATCTGCATTTTATTTTTCAGGGAAAGAGGAAAGAGAGTTCCTCGCCGACACGCTGTGTGTAGATTTGTAAGGATTGTCAACAAGGTCGCAGGGGTCATGGAGAAAACACTCGACCGTTTTAACCTTAAATGTAACGTGAGCGCAGAATTGATATGCATGTGTACAATCATGTGAGCAGTGTTTTTGAACAGCCTGATCCTCTGGGTATTGCACAGCTAGAAACCAAAGACTAGCCAAGGTCGCTCCTCTTCATCAATCCCTCCAATCCTGCCCCCCCAAAAAAAGGCAGTTCAAAGTCTGTCAAAAAAAACATTTAATCTGATTTTGAGTTCTGGAAAAAAGCGAGGAAGTCAATTTTCTTGTTTGACATTTTACGGCATGAGTTGATGATATAAAATATGAAAAAAAAATAAGAAATTAGACTCAATCTGATTATGTGTACAGATATTTAAATTTATAGTCCCTTTTTAATTTAACCCTTTACATTTATTGGCTGTTTATTAACACAACACCAAGCGTGGACCCTTTATTAAAACCCCCACTTCCCAATAATCCAGAAACAGATGGATTATTTCCCTCAAATTGTAAGGTGTTTTCTCCCTTTTTAAAGTCAATTTCGTGCATTTTTAAAACACCCCAAAGGACGACAAATGAATTTTCTAGCTTTATCTGTGTTGAATGTGAGGCATTTGACCCGTTTAGAAACCTCCTCTGGCCCGGAGTGATCCGAGGGGGGCAGCCTTGTTGCTTTTTATTAGACCTTTTGAATCATTGGGTGGCAGATGTTTGCAGTGCAGATCACAGTGTGAGGGTTTGAGGAAGTCCTCGTGGTGTTTGGCTCCAAACCCGCTCTCTGACACAGAAGTGATGAAAGGTGAGGAACTGTAGATGCTGCCTTAACGTAGTTGCAGGTGAGATCCGGTCAGCTTTGAACTAAACAAAAACGTCTTTCTCTTCAAGCTTAATCCTTCGGAGAGTTTTTTATTTTTCAATACAATCAGACGCCATGCTGTTGGTGAGTTTTGCTATTTATTCATGTTTTGTTCTTTTTGTTTCCAGTGAGATGCTTTTCAAGGCTGTGTTACTGAAACATGTTGTTGTTTCTAAGTCCAGGCGTTCTGTTTCATCTGCTTTAGTCGAAGCAATGACCGTTTGATAGTGTAGCTTCACTGCCTTTTGTGTGTGTGTGTGTGTGTGTGTGTGTGTGTGTGTGTGTGTGTGTGTGTGTGTGTGTGTGTGTGTGTGTGTGTGTGTGTGTGTGTGTGTGTGTGTGTGTGTGTGTGTGTGTGTGTGTGTGTGTGTGTGTGTGTGTGTGTGTGTGTGTGTGTGTGTGGAGATCTGCAGGTGCCACTCTGATGATATCACAGGAGGAGATACATGCTCAGAAATAAGACTTTTAATGACATCTATAACAGAAATATGGGACGTTTTCTTTTTGAGGGCTGGTCGTTATCTTTTCCTCACTTAACGAGCTCTTGAAACCTGGTGTGTGTGTGTGTGTGTGTGTGTGTGTGTGTGTGTGTGTGTGTGTGTGTGTGTGTGTGTGTGTGTGGTGTGTGTGTGTGTGTGTGTGTGTGTGTGTGTGTGTGTGTGTGTGTGTGTGTGTGTGTGTGTGTGTGTGTGTGTGTGTGTGTGTGTGTGTGTGTGTGTGTGTAATAGAGACCGCCCCTACCTCGTCATACCACAATACCTCAGGGCAGTGGGCTGCAGTCACTGTTTCGTTGGATATTTGAAGCTCCGTTGAGGGACGATGGCTGACGGACACTGCGGTCACTTCGCCGAATGCAACGTTGATTTTATTTTATTTTTTTGCATTTTTTGGATTTGTGTCGTCAGTAACTGTAGGCGAGGTCTCGTCACTCAGGAAGCTGTGAAGTTGGAAGTCTGCAGAACCTTTTGTCTCTCAGATGATTTTGGAGTTGATTCAGTTTTAAATTGTTTAAAAAAGAAACTAACCTGATCTGTGTAAAAACAGGCGCATATGCAAGTGGTTATCGAATACCTCATTTATCAATTTTATGTTGTTTTTGGCTTGTACAATGCTCCGTATATTAATTCAACTGTGGGGTTTGTGCATATTTTTGTACTGTTATTATTATTATGGACATGGTAATAATGATATTACTGATATTATAGTTTTCTCTTTGATTAAAGCAAACAAAAAAAAATAGGACAAAACAACGAATGCTTGTAAAAACTGGTTTGTGCTGATTGTATTTAAGAGGAGCACCTTTCCAAAGTGGTTTTCACACATTCAGTTTTGTTCATATTAGTAATATAAAGATATGGTTCTCAGGGCTTTAAACTTGTATGTCATGATAAAGTTTTACTTTATATCTTATTCCCATGTGTGTTTGCTTTATTTCTCCTTTAAAGAGACGCTATCACGCTTTTTGTGGTTCCTGTAGTTTGTTCTCTAGGTTTGTGTGCATGTGAACATCCCTGTGTTTCTCTCCCACACACTCGCATCAGCAGGAGAGGACTCTTTAAAGTAGAGACACTACATACTGATATACACCTGAACATCAGCAGGAGAGGACTCTTTAAAGTAGAGACACTACATACTGATACACACCTGAACATCAGCAGGAGAGGACTCTTTAAAGTAGAGACACTACATACTGATATACACCTGAACATCAGCAGGAGAGGACTCTTTAAAGTAGAGACACTACATACTGATATACACCTGAACATCATCAGGAGAGGACTCTTTAAAGTAGAGACACTACATACTGATATACACCTGAACATCAGCAGGAGAGGACTCTTTAAAGTAGAGACACTACATACTGATACACACCTGAACATCAGCAGGAGAGGACTCTTTAAAGTAGAGACACTACTACTGATACACACCTGAACATCAGCAGGAGAGGACTCTTTAAAGTAGAGACACTACATACTGATATACACCTGAACATCAGCAGGAGAGGACTCTTTAAAGTAGAAACACTACATACTGATATACACCTGAACATCAGCAGGAGAGGACTCTTTAAAGTAGAGACACTACATACTGATATACACCTGAACATCAGCAGGAGAGGACTCTTTAAAGTAGAGACACTACATACTGATATACACCTGAACATCAGCAAGAGAGGACTCTTTAAAGTAGAGACACTACATACTGTTATACACCTGAACATCAGCAGGGGAGGACTCTTTAAAGTAGAGACACTACATACTGATATACACCTGAACATCAGCAAGAGAGGACTCTTTAAAGTAGAGACACTACATACTGTTATACACCTGAACATCAGCAGGAGAGGACTCTTTAAAGTAGAGACACTACATACTGATATACACCTGAACATCAGCAGGAGAGGACTCTTTAAAGTAGAGACACTACATACTGATATACACCTGAACATCAGCAGGAGAGGACTCTTTAAAGTAGAGACACTACATACTGATACACACCTGAACATCAGCAGGAGAGGACTCTTTAAAGTAGAGACACTACATACTGATATACACCTGAACATCAGCAGGAGAGGACTCTTTAAAGTAGAGACACTACATACTGATATACACCTGAACATCATCAGGAGAGGACTCTTTAAAGTAGAGACACTACATACTGATATACACCTGAACATCAGCAGGAGAGGACTCTTTAAAGTAGAGACACTACATACTGATACACACCTGAACATCAGCAGGAGAGGACTCTTTAAAGTAGAGACACTACTTACTGATACACACCTGAACATCAGCAGGAGAGGACTCTTTAAAGTAGAGACACTACATACTGATATACACCTGAACATCAGCAGGAGAGGACTCTTTAAAGTAGAAACACTACATACTGATATACACCTGAACATCAGCAGGAGAGGACTCTTTAAAGTAGAGACACTACATACTGATATACACCTGAACATCAGCAGGAGAGGACTCTTTAAAGTAGAGACACTACATACTGATATACACCTGAACATCAGCAAGAGAGGACTCTTTAAAGTAGAGACACTACATACTGTTATACACCTGAACATCAGCAGGGGAGGACTCTTTAAAGTAGAGACACTACATACTGATATACACCTGAACATCAGCAAGAGAGGACTCTTTAAAGTAGAGACACTACATACTGTTATACACCTGAACATCAGCAGGAGAGGACTCTTTAAAGTAGAGACACTACATACTGATATACACCTGAACATCAGCAGGAGAGGACTCTTTAAAGTAGAGACACTACATACTGATATACACCTGAACATCAGCAGGAGAGGACTCTTTAAAGTAGAGACACTACATACTGATATACACCTGAACATCAGCAGGAGAGGACTCTTTAAAGTAGAGACACTACATACTGATATACACCTGAACATCAGCAGGAGAGGACTCTTTAAAGTAGAGACACTACATACTGATATACACCTGAACATCAGCAGGAGAGGACTCTTTAAAGTAGAGACACTACTGATATACACCTGAACATCAGAAGGAGAGGACTCTTTAAAGTAGAGACACTACATACTGATATACACCTGAACATCAGCAGGAGAGGACTCTTTAAAGTAGAGACACTACATACTGATATACACCTGAACATCAGCAG